CTAAATGCATAGTCTCTCTAAATGCATGGCTTTATTTGGCCCTAACTTATATAACACAGATTTTTACCTCCCTTAATGCAATCTCTCTAAATGCAAGATTTTTTGGCCGCCCTCGTTATGCATTTAGAAAGGTCTGACTGTAATAGTAAAAAACAAAATTCATTGTTTTAAATAAATGTGCACAAAATTAACAAACTTTGTAATTTTTACAACCCAGTATATTTTTTCACGTGAATATGAAATGTGTGATCGAGTAAAAGTTATCCTATATATTTTCTATATATGTTTCCCCGAACGCCATCGGTATCAATACAAACTCTTATGTCTTCTGAACGAACGATCCCAGCAGAACTGCAGCAATATATAGATCAAGCGGTTTCAAAATTACCTGGCAACAGTAGCTGGTCATTTATACAAGGCTTTTTGTTAGGTCAGCTTACCATTGTAATTTTGATTCTCGCTTTTATAAAATTCATGCTGTTAGAAAAAGCCACAAAGCAACAAAAGGTTCGAAGTATAGTTTCATTTCTGTGGCTCAACTGGGCAGATCAATAAGCTATAACGCAAAAAATAAATGTTTTATAGCGTCGTCTTCCCATACAAATGCCAATTAATCCGAAAACAGCTTCTGTATCGCCTGCTTCGACCATTCTTTCTAAAACGTTATATGATCCTAAGTATCATCTACCTGAATCAACTGATTGGCTTAATGTTCTGCTAGCACAAGCTATATATCAATATAGAGAAGAAGCGAAGACAGACAATCGTTTAGTACGTTTTGTTGATGAAATATTGAATGATGGTGTCAAGCCCGATTTCATGGTGAGTATAAAATTGATAAATAACGATATTAATCGATATCTGTACATATTTAACTGTCTGCACGGAGAATTGACTTAACAGCAACACTTTAAGGCAATTATTCATGATCGGATATTTCTATCTCTAGCTGCGGCTAAACAAAAATATGATTAAAAATTAATCAGGGGCCGATTGAAGTTACACGTCTAGACATTGGTGAAGAATTTCCTATCTTCAGTAATGCTCGAATACGACCGACTGAAACAATGAGCAGAATGGTAAATAATAGTACTTTAAAAACCAATGAATTCAATTTTCGAGTTTTTATCGGTAATATATTTGAACTATTTCGAATTCAAGCGAGTCGAAGTTGACTGTGATTTCAGTGACCAAATTACTCTTGGTGTAAATACTCAAATTCTAATCAATTGGCCAAAACCACGGATAGCAGTATTGCCCATTTCGCTAGTTCTTTCTATTGTCAAATTTGCTGCAACGGTAAGAAATCCTTACGCAAATTATTCCTTGCTATTTTGAAAATATTAATAGAAAGTATAACTATTTTCATTTAGATCACTTTGGAAATAGTGGTGAATTCAGAGTCTTCCTTTATCGTTGTCTCATCGCTTCCGGACTTCGTACTGGAGTTTAACGTCCAGTCATTAATAGGTTCACGATCAAAGCTTGAAGACGTGCCTAAAATCACACATATGATCACATCCAAATTACGAAATGCATTTTGTGAGAAATTCGTGTATCCGAATTCTACAAAATTCAGAATGCCAGACTTATGGGCACTACACAAAACTAGTTAATCAATCGGTGAAATCCGAATCTGACCTCAATAGCTACTCAACCGCTGACAATATAATAAATAAAAATATTATTCAAATCATATATTCGGATATTATACATTGTTAGTGATTAAATTAGAAAAAGTGTTATTTATCAGGTAGACAGATATAACAAGAACGCTGGCTGGATGGAAACAAAATTGATTATCATTTTACGCTCACACACACAAAAAGCATCCGCCTAATTAGCCAGTCAAATCGTAAGATCAGGCGATGTGAAATTCAAAAAAACTGTAAAAAAGGATGTATTAGTTTAGAATCAGGGTAAAGCGGTAACAAACTGTACTTAACCTAAAAAAAATTACAAATAATTTTTTTTAGATGCAGAGTTAGAAAGTATTTGTGTTATTCAACTTACGACATAATCGGCCAATCATGACTAAGGTCCCATGTCTTTACATTTAATTTAGTGACTTAGCAATAATATATTTTATTTTATTATATATTCACAATTAAGTAACGGTCTTTTAACATAAAAAATTATATATTATTACAACTTGTTGAAGGAAACTACATCAACGCTTTGAACGTGATCTTCAAATGCAGTGATTTGTTCTTCTAAATCATCTATATAACAATAAAAAAATAAACGAAAAATATTTATATATATTGCATAAATTTAATAATCATAACATAAAATTCTCACCAATGCCAACTTTGTCATCTTCAACTACACACGAAATTTGTAACTTTTTGATGCCATAGCCAATGGGAATCAGTTTGGAAGCACCCCACACGAGCCCATCCATAGAGATCTCCCTCACAAGGTTTTCCATTTTAACCAAATCAGTAGTATCTTCCCAAGGTTTGACATCTAAACAAACCATACTTTTAGCAATAACCTTTGGTTTAGCTGCCTTTTTCTTGTGATACGCCTCTAGAAGTTCAGCTTTACGTCGTTCTTCTTCTGGATCTGGTTCCTCATCTTCAGAACCGAACAAATCAACATCGTCATCATCGTCATCCTTTTTTTCCTCACCAGGTAGCGAGGTGAATTCTTCAGAGTAGGAAACAATATGATTGTACCATCGTACGACATGTGGGAACTTTACATGGTCGGGAACCTTATGGGCAAGTTTTTTGAATACAGATACATCGGCTTGAGTTGGTTCATAGCTACGAATCAAATGCATAAATTTCATTATTTGGCTCTGTTCAAGCAGAATTTTAATATCTAAAATATAGATCAGAGAATTGAAATGTAGATTTTCATTCATAAACGGAAGATTGTCCGCTCAGAAACACGGACCAGTTATCATCAGAAGATAGGATAACCTTATATAAGTATAAAAAGACAGAACAATAACACTACCCTTCGATATATGAATGTTCCTCCAAAAATGTATTAAGTTCCGTAAGACCCTTGTCACTGTCAAGTCGAGTGAAAGCCTACAACGCAAGGGGCATAGTTAATTTTTTTCATCTCACGATAAGCCCTTGACGGATACCTACCATTTTGTTAACGTCAGAGAAGCCTTTAAGAAGTGTTATTGATGTTAAAAAAAAAAAACTTGGAGATAATTAAAGTTCATTTTTATTGGCCAAATTTCTAGTCACGTGATTAGCGTGGAAATTTGATCCAAGATCTGGTAAGCATGACAGAAGTTCGATTTATGCACTATCGTTACACAAGATTTTATATAACGATTTACTATAGCGAAAAAAAAAGTCATATGGTAACACATGAAGGAAACGACAATTTTTCACAAAACTTAGTCATATCGTATTTCAATTGCTTTGCACTTGAATTACACTTGAATGGTAAAGACCCAACTCGAATGATCTTTAAAGTGTAACTTTTATTATAAATGAATTTTTATAAAAAATATTAATATGCAGACATTGTTATATTAAATTTCTATTTTTTAGAAGTATATAGCAGTAATTTCAAAAGCAAAGGGCATTATCGGTTTTTATTTGCAAAATAAGACATTTATACATAGTTATTTTTATCTAATTATATACTTACCAATATTGCATTTGGTTTATTTGCATTGCCAGTTTAGATGAAATGTCATGTATTTCTTTAACCTCCTCAAAATTTTCTTCTGCCTTCTTGTCATTATCATCATTTTCATCAAAATCTTCTTTTGTAAATGAATCTGCATCTTTTTTAATTCGGTTTAA